CTCAAGTCTGTGCTTTAGTCCGATAAAAGTATCCCTGCGCCTGGAAATAACCTCAAGGTCTTGTGAATTGCAAACCATTCTTTGAAATAAACCAGGGGGTCCAATTAAATAACCATTATTTCAAACCTCATCTCTTGTCGAAAAAGAAACGAAATCCTGGCAGCCAAGCATCATGCCCTTTTCGCGTACCTTGTCAGTCGTTGGATGCCACGCCGAAGGTGAAGTCGGCGATGTCATTATCGGTGGAGTACTCGATGTCCCTGGCAGTACAATGTACGAGAAGCTGGTTCACTTTTTGAACGAAAAGGACGACATACGTCAGCTTTTACTCAACGAGCCTCGAGGCCGGTGCTCAATGAACACAAATTTGATCCTACCTCCTTGTGATCCACGAGCCGATGCCGGATTTTTGATCATGGAAAGCGAAGAATACGCACCTATGTCGGGATCCAACACAATCTGTACCACTACTGTGCTATTGGAGACCGGCATGGTCCCGATGAAAGAGCCCATGACTCAACTTACGCTGGACACCGCCGCCGGTCTGGTCACCGTGAAAGCAGAATGCGAAGCAGGAAAATGCAAGAATGTAGCATTTGACAATGTACCTGCATTTGTATTTGAACTCGACTATCAAGTCCTTGTTCCTGGCCTTGGAGAGGTCACCGTTGATATTGCCTGGGGAGGGATGATGTACGTGCTCGTGGATGCGGCTTCCGTGTGTCTGAAAATCGAATCTCAATATAGCACTCAGCTAGTTGAGATTGGCGAGCGTATCAAAAGCGCAGTCCAAGCCTCATATACCCCTGTTCACCCTGAGAATCCAAGGATCAAGGGAGTTAGTATCTTGGAGTTCACGGAGCCTCTCACGAAAGAGGACGGTTGCAAGGCTGCTATCAACACTGTTGTTGTCTCACCAGGGCGTTTTGATCGCAGTCCTTGTGGCACTGGCACATGTGCTCGACTCGCTGTCCTGCATGCGAGGGGTCAGCTAGCAGAGGGTGAGATTTTCAAGCATCGCAGTATTATTGGCACCGAGTTTATCAGCCAGATTCGTGGAATCACACAAGTCGGCGAATACCAGGCTGTTCTCCCGACTGTTGCTGGGAGGGCTTGGATAACTAGTTTCAAACAAGTAGTTCTTGATTCGAGCGACCCATTCCCAAAGGGATTCAGGGTGGGGGACCAATGGCGAACGGCACCCAGTTCATTGGTTTAGGGCTAGGGGGAGAACAAGAACTGTTTGTGATTTAACTACTACCCCCGCAAAGGCTTTTCAGTGTCCTTACATATTCCCAGCGTATGTTATACTGGAACACAGACTAAGCATTGGGATGTCCAAAAGATAATAACTCAAGTGTTATTATAGAGCATGAGGATTCGATATAGACTGCGCGTTTCATTCTTTCAACATCGAACTTAGGTACAGAAAAAGAGATTGAAAAGGAGCGTATGGGGTAAATATAAAAAAAAAAGTATTTTCGGCTTTTCCACATCAGCCGTCCTTCAACATATTTCTCGGATTGTTTGCTCAGTCAGAGAGCAGTAGGAGTGTAGCTCTGGTCAGGCTTGACGACGTTTCCGTCTGCAAGCTGGTCGTCGCTGTAGCCAGGCCAGATGATCTGGCCGGCCTCAATGTTCTTAACGGACAAGGTAGTGAAGCCGTTGGTAGGATCAAACTGGCCGCTCCAGCCTGAGGTGACGGTGTATGCGCCACATGCACTAGGGCCTCCATTAGCGTGAGAGGCATCGGTGGCCTCCACGACGTAGGTACAACCGGCAGTGTCTGAACCGGAGTCAATGCCAAAGGACCAGGTGCATGAGGTGTTTTCGTCGTTGCAGACGCGCTTCATGTCTCGAATGGTCCAATCAGAGCTGGTGATAGGGGCAGCAAAGATGGAGGAGGCGAAGAGGCCAGTTGCGAGAAGGATCTGAGAGATCTGCATGTTTGCGATTTGGTGGTTTATTGGGTCGTTGAGAGGAGGTGTTTTAATTAAAAGTGTTGGATGTTTGGACTCGGAAAGGCGGGTTGGATGAGAGTTGTGTGGATGAAGTTGTGTGGATGAGAATAGAAAGGAAAGCATCAACAGAAGGGATGAGGGTATTTAAGTCCTTTCTCAATATTCAATCGCTGACCGTCCATTCACTAAAGCATAGGCTATGGGGTAGGCTTCTCTAGTCACTCCGCGATGATCTCTCAAAATAGAATTCCTAGATGCTAATACTATGTCAGTCGACGTAACACTGCAAATCGGACGCATAGGATACACCCCCACTGTTTGCTGGCAAGGCTGAGCCTCATGTCTGACTCTTGGCAAAGTAGGGCCTTAAGGCATGACTTCTATAACTAATTACATGGTGCATAACTTCAATTGTAAGCATTTAGCATATTGCAACGCAACCTAGCCAATCTTGTATTGGGGTCCTCAGGTTAGGCCACCCATGTACCCTCCGAGATGGTTATTTCTAGATACATATTTTCCAAGAAAGAAGCTGAGATTAGGTTCTGACGATCCCAAGGCCACCTCTCCCGGTGGCTTTTGTTGGCTTTTGTTGTTTTTTTTTTTTTTACGAAGGATATTCAGGCCCCCCAACTGCCAGGCTGCCCAATCCTACGTGGATCTAATTTCATGTTTATTTACATGCACACAGTATTGAGTAATTTCTAAAAATGAGAGAAGGAGAGAGAAACATGTACGTATTCCACTGATCAAAACAATCCAGATTTCCCCAAGGTTGTCCAGATCCCTAGACAACCGGGGCCCGGGCCCGGGGCCACGGGTCACGGGGCGGGCCCTGCGCCCCGCCGAGGCACCGGGTGGGCGCAGGTGGATCTCAGCTGGGCTGGGGCTGAGTAATCTCTGCCTAACATTTTAGGCATCAACTTACCGTGGTTTCTGCCAAAGCGACTCTCTCCAACTTTTAGCCAAGCCATACTGCCCTACTCTTCTATTCCTCTACACATCTGACTATGGAATCTCCAAAGAAACTCAAAATCGCAAGTCTGGGCAGCTCCTTTGCTGCTGGCCCTGAAATTCCCCCACAAATCGAACCATATGCCGCCTCGCGATCAGGGCAGAATTACCCCCATCTTTTGGCGCAGCACTTGAAAGCCGATCTCACTGATCTGACGGTTTCTGGTGCAACGTTGCTCAACATAACAGTCGACCCACAGTCTACCTCATCTAATACGACCTTCCCACCGCAAATCTCCGGCCTCCCCGAAGATGCCAATATCATCACCGTGACTGCTGGAGGAAATGACATAAACTATATCGGCGGCATGATCGCCGACGCTAGCGACGCCGAGCTCCAATCGTCGATGTCACTATCACCAGAAGAATTGGCAGAACGGCTAGGAGGAGTCCTCGATCAGCTACACAAACGGGCCCCGGGAGCTCGAATCTTCCTTGTTGAATATCTTGCTGTTCTGGGACCTGGAACTCAACCGAGTCGGAATGTCCCGCTGACACAGGAGAGAATTCAACATTACCGCGGTGTTGCGTCTGTCCTACAACATGCATATTCTGTCGCCGTGGAAGGTCGAGCCGAGTGGTGTGAGACTGTCCCAATTCACCAACTCAGCCAGGAACATGCACTTGGCAGCGAAGAACCTTGGGTTGGAGGGTTTGAATTGGGGCCCCTTTTCCATCCGAATCTTGATGGGATGAAGGCTGTAGCGAATATTCTAGTTGAGACCATCGGCAAGAGGACATTGCCTAAAGCATTGTTGTGAATATATTCATTATACTAGTCTCTGCGTGGTATTACTTGGTGATTACGATTGTCAAGCAGGGCTAGAGCAGGTGTGAGATATTATCAGAGTGGCTAGTATTGATATTGACTAGGGTTGTCCGGGAAGAGGTTTCTCGATTTCTCCCAACTATCAAAGCGAGCGAGTTGGATTCGCCATACCCTACCATGTCCGCACATAGAATGCCAGGCTATGATCTTAACTGAGCTTAGGTGTCCAGCTTTTGCCTCCACAATCATGACTCACTAAATGCATTGGGGCTGGCCTGGGTACTGTGGATGATTGCAGATGGGCCAATCAGAAGCCTACGTTCTACGGTCTGAACAAATGGTTGCGTGTGTGGTCTGGGGTAAAACCTCGTATAGGGTGAGACGGGAATGCCGAGGGCTTCTTTCTCAGCCATCTGCTAATGCAAGCCTTCCTATAAACAATAACTCACTATTATATTCTAGCCTTTGATCCTCATTTTTAACACAAAAGATCTTTAAAACCGAGTACGAAATCTTGCATGCCAGATACACTTGTAGCATCGAATTTTGCTAGCAATCAGAGTACAAATGCACGTATATATTTTTCGTCGGTGAGGGCTATGCATACTTGGCACTTGTATCACAAAAATATAACCAATAGGACGAGGTTTGTCTTGGATACCGGGCGATCCAAGCAAGTAAGCAACTAGTAGCACCAACAAATGCACCAACAAATGCAAGCCATCAATGAGAGTATTGCCCGTACTATTTTGGGTCGTGTCCATCGCAAACTTGATCGTTCTTATCTCTTTCTTTCTCTTTCTCTTTTTTCCCCCTTCTTTTTGTCAAAAGTATATGTTCTATGCTGCGGGTTATGTGGGTTGACCGTTCGGGCTAGAAGAAAGAAAGACACCATACATAGTTTATTCTATATACAATGTCTGTCAATTTAGAAAAGAACCGCATGAGCCGAGTAGTCTTGTAAATTAGCGATGGTCTTATTCTCCTCATCCGGAAGCTTTCGTTCCATCTTTGTCGGGCCGAACACTTCGGGATGTTATCTTCCGGTTCCACGCTTCGCGTACAGCAGGAGCGAAGACTAGCTCTTCGAAAACATCCAAAGGTTTTTCATTCCAATTTTATTCCAAATTAGAGTATCTTGAATAGCCACTCACCAACTCCCCATCTACGGTGTTTATATCAATCTATGGTATAGAAGATATCTTGGACTATACCCCGCATTATCCAACTTCCCTTCCTACAGGCAAGACCACAACATGGGAAAACGCATCGTGATCACTGGAGGCTCCGGCAAAGCCGGACAGCACATTATCAGATATCTCCTCCAACAAGACCATGATATCCTGAACCTCGACCTCGTTCCTCTTCCCGCCGAGCTGGAGGAGCGTGTCCACACCTTGCGTGTCGACCTGACAAACACGGGACAGGTATACAGCGCACTGGGCTCTCATTTCCACTTGTCAGAGCCATTCCGCGAGCCACTGGAGCTAGTCCCCGATGCAGTCATTCACATGGCCGGGTATTCCCGCAACATGATCGTCCCAGACGACGAAACCTTCCGCGGCAACACCTCGGCAACGTACAACATAATCGAAGGCGCCTCGCGCCTCGGCATAAAAAAGATCATCATCGCCAGCTCTGTCACCGTCTACGGCGTGAGTTTCGCAGAGGGAGATGTAGATTATCCCTCCTTCCCAGTCGAAGAAACCGTGGACGCAAACCCTATGGACACATACGCCATCTCGAAGGTGTGCGGCGAGCGCATTGCTCGTGGGTTCGCGCGTCGGTATGGAAGCGATATCTATATCCTGCGCATTGGACGTATTGTCGCCCCGGAGGAATACAAACAGTCCATGTTCCGATCATATGTTGAGAATCCCGAGAAATGGGCACCGCACGGCTGGGCGTACATTGATGCTCGTGATCTCGGGCAGATGTGTGATCTCGCGATTCAGAAGGATGGTCTTGGATTTCAGATCTTTAATGCGGTCAATGATGAAATTACGAATTACGAGAACACCGCCGAGTTCCTGGCGCGGGTTTGTCCCCATGTCCCGGTTACACGCGAGTTGGGGGTCAGAGAGGCTCCCATCAGTAATCGGAAAATTAAGGAACTGCTTGGGTTTCAGGAAGAGCATCATTGGATGAAGTATTATGAATGAGTCTGGGGGAAAATCAAATCTGATTCGTGTTTGTAACAAAGTGGACCCTTGGATCTTCCCTAAGATTTCCCTCCAGGACTCTTTCACGATGTTAGTAAGCAGGTCACGCGCCCGGTTCCCAGGTCCGGATGACATCAGCCGATCTTTTGTGGAGTCTCCAAGGCTCCAAGGCTCCAAGGCTCCAAGGGGAGGTGATATTCACTCCACGTTGTGGGATTTTCTCTTTGCCGAATACCAAGTCCAGACTGTCAAAACAAAGCAAGGACGCAAGGATAGGATGCAAGGGCATCTAATTCACCGAATCCTCCATGCTCCATGGATACAGGCAACTATCCGCTAATAAATGAAATTTTCGAGATGAGATTTTCTCCGTGGCGCAATGAATGCGGGCTATAATCCTGGTACCCCCCGTCGTGAGGCTGGAAATTCCCGATCCGGAAACGGGTTACAATTTGAATATTCTCCCCTTTAGCCGTGACTTTTTAGCGAGATATTTTCAATCTCTTTACCCCTGAACTTGCCCTTTTTTGAATGAGGTTTAGATGAAACGTTGAGATAGGTTCACAATCGTATTGTAGAACATGGAGACCCTGAATTGATAGGTAAGATTGGAGACCTGAGCTGCAGAAAGAGAGGTCCAATCATAAAGTTGGGACTGCTTTTGGATTTCTCACCCCATGGGTATTTCCTGTGTTTATTATTATATTATTACTATTACTATTATTTCTATTTCTATTACTACTATTACTATTACTATTATTACTATTATTACTAGTTGTTATATATTATATATTCTCTATTACGAATTTATACGTCCAAGTCTGGGGTACCCCGATCGGCCCCCGCATGCAATATACGAGATGCGCCCCAGCTTTTGCCTCTTTGTCTCTTTTGGCCCTTTTCTTTCCTCTTTTCTCTTTTGTTTCTCTTTTCAAGTACTGTGTCTGACTTTTCCCCAGTTTATCCTATATCCCCCCCACTTTACCTGAATCCTACATCTACGCCATGCTACTATTCCCCTGATACTGACTCAACGCCATGGGCGATTTCACTGCCGGGGATGGCATCACCGGTGACTACAAGGGAGCTTCCCTGGGCATGCAGATCACCATCGCGACTCTTGCCGGTGTCACTTGGTATAATGCTTTCGAGCTCATGATCCTCCTCTTCGTCACTTTCGCTGAATACCGAGGACTCTACTTTTGGAGTTTATTTATTTCTTCCTCCATCGGTCTACTTCCCTACTCGCTAGGCTTCTTACTCAAATTCTTCGAAATCACCAAACCCCTTCCATGGCTCCCGGTTACCTTGCTCACAATTGGATGGTGGTCCATGGTCACCGGCCAGTCTGTTGTCCTGTACTCGCGCCTACATTTAGTCCTATCAAACCAGCGAGTCCTGCGTCGCGTGTTGACGATGATTGTGATTAACGCAATCATCCTCCATTTGCCCACTACTGTTCTCACTTACGGTACCAACATGGCCGACCACGCCTCCCTGCACTTATGGACGAAAGGGTACAATATAATGGAAAAGATCCAAATGACAGGCTTTTGTCTGCAAGAATTCATCATCTCAGGGCTGTACATCTGGGAAACAGTCCGCATGCTACGCTTAGACCCGGACCGTACCAAGCGCAAGATTCAGTACCAACTACTGACAATCAACTTCATCATCATCATTCTGGACGTGGGCCTGCTCGTCGCCGAGTACTTGGACTTTTACATCATGGAAACCATGCTCAAAGGCGTCGTATACAGCATCAAGCTGAAACTTGAATTCGCCGTCCTCGGTAAACTCATTCACCTGGTACACAATCACGTCTGGAAACCCGAATCCTTTTCTGCGCCACGCGACCTCCCCGATTTCGTCGATGCAACCCGCGTGACCTCCGATATGACCCATGCCTCCCCCAGTGCCATCCATCGCAGACCTTCCCGGATGGATGCCGATGACCTTTCTATCGCCATGTTCGAGCATTTACCGCCCGACCGCATACGAACCAATTCCGATCTCTCCCACTCGTGGAGCAGTGAGGCCCGCGCCTATCATGTGGATCACCTCCCCGTCGACTTCACAAATTCTTTCTGCCATTATCCACGTCACCAAAGTCGGGAAATGCCCGAGAAACCGGGATGAGAATAGACCCCGCCATGGGCAATATCCTCCAACCTTCTTTCCTCTTTATGAATTACGGCTTACGAGATATGATGATCATTGAGACTCCCGATATCCCACTTCATGATCTGCGAACATCACACCATCAGCCAGTCTTCAAACTGGTCTCTCCCCCCCCGACAACCCTGAGGAAAGTCAAGTTCCCACAGACAATCTCCGGGCCTTGCGGCCAGCTCCAGGATTCACCACAGAGTTATTGAACCGCTGATTCAGTAACTTCCCTAATGGGGAATCCATAAATGTGCAACCCGCCAGGGCTCATTTACAATAATACAATATAGATGCATGTTCATCTTTGTTTGTATATAGACCGATTTCTTGTAGTTATCTCTTGAGATGCGCTTGCTAAACATGTCCCAACTATCTCCATTGCACACTTCCTGTCTCAGTCGTATTGCTCTCCCTATTTAGAGTTCTGGCACTAGCATCCTTGTTTATGAATTATAGATTCACCCTCTTCTATGTATAAACCAATGTAGTCTACATAACGTTCTCCTCTTTCTCGAAAGGAAAGGTATCGAGACTATTCAAAGTTATACATGGAAAAGTCACCCAACTGCCCTCGGGGTTTCTGTTACATATATCTTATATACATACATATATATATATATATATATATATAGAAAAGGAGCTTTTTACCGTATTCTACATGTTATGACCAATCATTTTCACCTTTGTAGCTATAACACTAAGAATAGACGAAAGATATCGTAGTATTAAGTTAAGCATAATGTCCCTAATGTCATCCTAAGCTAAATAGACTAGATTATCAAAGTCAGAGACCGCATAAGCGGCCTATTATGTTTGTAACTACATACTAGGAAGGCAACAACTAATTCTACTCTGGTGAAGGATTTACAGCACACAGCCAAGCGCATGTACTTAGGTGTAGTCAAGGGTATTTTATGTGTCGACTAAAGTGTAAATCAACAAATGCCCATCGATGGAATGATACACAGCAAAGCACAGCGCAATCGAAGAGATACATGGAAAGCGAAGCGGCTCGTAAATCGTACATAGAAAAAGGAGCTAGAGACTAGGTTCACCCTAGCACCAAGACTCAAGACCCCAAAGCTCCGAGGCTCGAACGCTTAATCTCGAAGGCTCGAGACCCTTCAATCAACCCATCAGAGAACTTGGTCACAGCCACCCACGCCGGACTGAACTGTCTCACCTCGTCGAGAGCGGGAATGAGGCCGATTCGGTTATTGTCGCTCCATAGGCAAGTGATGCGGCCTGTGATAGAGGACGAGTCATGCTTTGAGAAATCTACATCAACAGTCCACTTGTTGTCCCATGTACGACTCCACAGTTGGATCCGGTTCAGACCATCTGGGGATGGGTTGAGGAAGCGGTGGTCCGGAGCGGAGGAGCCAACCACACTAAAGTTTGTAATGTAGTTGCCGTCCATGTTGATACGGCAATTACGCGTGTTTTGGCCTGATACTTCGAATCGAACAGAGGAACTGTCAGGTTGAGGGTGGGAAATACTGAAAGAAATCCAGTCCGGCGACAGTTCAGAAGCCTCAACCAGAGAGTCGGCATCCTCGTTTGAAATGGATAGAGAATCGGCACTGGAAACAACATGTGGAACTGGTGCACTCCAGGAGCATCGCTGGACTTCATTTTTGCCTCGGAAAATCCATTCACATGTATCATCTTGGCCGGCTGCGCCGGGGAGTCCGTAGGTAACATCCTTGACAAACGGAGGCATGCCAGTCAGTGAAGCAGTAGAGATCCCGTTGTCGAGATCGACCTCTTGCAGGAAGAACAGCTTCAGGCGGTTGGAATCTGCGAACGGGAAGGCGACAAGGTTGTAGATCATGGTTCCGATGAAAACAAAGAGTAGGAAGATAGGCAGGTGGTATGTATAGCGGTGGATAAATGGCAGGATAGGCGCAAAGAGGAGTGCAGTAAGAATGGAAATGAAGAGATAGACAATTAGCTGGGGACTACCATCCTGCCCAGTCTGGCTGAGAGCGCTGGTAATCAGAAGGGCGAGCGGTACGATCAGCATGAGAATTACAGGAGCTGTGATGAGTAGCTGCAACAGCCACGTCCATCGTGGCAACACACCACTCCACCCCTGCTCGTGTGCATACACGTTTGGGTCTTTCTCTTCTTCCTCTTCGTCTAGTTCATCAGATGCGCGGTCCGCCCCAACGCGGACATAGTTGGCAAAGGTGGGGCGGTGTGGGCCATGCAAGAGTGATGTTGACTCAGTCGGGTCCTCTTCAGCATCATCGTCCTGGTGTTCATCACCCGATGCAGCAAGCCGGCTTCCCTGGGTACTAGGCCGTCGTGACTCAGCTAATCTACCAACATACTCTGTCTTTGTTGGCAGAGAGAACAATTCCAGATAGGAAATCCATGTGGCCAAGAAGGTGCCAGCAAAGTAAAAGAACATAAAATAGCCACCCGCGAGTCCTTCCTCGTTCTCGTAAACGGTGACAACTACCATGAGAGACCAGGTAAGAACAAACATCCAAGTCCAGGTATAGACTCGATGAAAGGCTGATGGACGTGCAAAGTCTGCGACGCGAGACACAAACCAAGCCAAGAAGACCCAAGCCGAGATCATCATACTCCATACGGCGTATGAACTGCTATGGGCAATCAAAGGGTTGACTTTCGTCACCATGTAAGCCAATCCGACGGTCACTGCCGTAGGAATTGAGATCAAGAACGGGAACCTGAAGAAACCACGCAAACCACGCAACGGAATGTTGTCGTCGTTGATCTCAGAATACGCCGATGAACGGAAGAGGTACATCTTGTCAGCCCTTGAAAGAATGATACTGGTGACAAGCAATGTCAATGGT